ACATTCAACCTCATACCCCCTGTACTAGTAGGAACCAATCTGTTTTATTTCTCCTTCAGTGAATAAAAGAACAAGAGATCATGAAATTTTTGTGATTTTAGTAAGTTACCGTGACAACTTTTCCCAATTTAGGAACAAACCAGTTTCATAAAAAAAAACCCAAGCCAATGTACAAAAGCTTTAAAAATGCACAGAAAATTGAGGTAGCCAACCCGCTACCAGTACTAATACTGAGGGAAATTTGACATTAACAAAAAAAAAAGAAAAAAAAAAGAAAAGAAGTTTCATCTAGATAGATATAATGTTTCACATGATCGTCGGTCATGGTAATCTGGAAAACAATAAACGGGGTGTGTGTGTGTGTGTGTGTGTGTGTGTGTTTGTGTGTGTGTGTGTGTGCAAAAATTAATGGGGATGGGGGGATGCACATACTTATTCGATACCCAAGAGTAGGCAGGCAATTCATATATTGGCCAGTGGTGGCACAATTTCATGTCTAGAGTATAAATATAAATGAATAAATACAAATTCATTTTACTGATGTGCTCGGAATCTGTCTTTACAATTAGATTGTGAAAGTTTTCCTACCTGGATATATTTTCTCTGAGTTTCATCGTTCAGCACATGGGCCACATAGCGGGAAGAAATCTTTTCACGACCTGTTCTTGCGTGGATACCCACCATAGTGACACCAATTGGCCATGGGGCATTTCCAATAGCCATCTCCAGATAGGAGTCATTTGCCTGTACAGAAAAAGACACGTTTGAACTGTACAACCATAACCATGAAGTCAACAATACCAAATGGTAAACAAGTAACTTTTACAACGCAACTCATATATTCAAACGAAATTGGGTACTTGAGCCTATCTAATTTCAAAACAAAGTCACAACTGAAAATCTCATATTGAAAAATAAAAACTACAACTTTGATCCAACAAATCAATGTAGTGCTGCACAAAACTTATGATTACAAACATTCTACTAATGACACATTTTTAACCATCTTATTGTAGACTATTTAAATTAAACGCAATTCTTCAAATGTCATTTTACTTAGTTTCTATAAAGTACAATTTTTTAAATAGAACCCCATGAAGAAAAACAGCTAAAATTTCCCCAAAAAATTTTTAGTAGAGGTTTTACGGCGCTCGCAACTGCATAAGGTCATATGAGCGCCAGGAAATTTTTTTAATTAAAAAAAAAAAATATAAGCAAACAAACAAACCACATATTATTATGTGACCCAAATGTAGTAGTCCAATATTCCAGCACAAGCAATAATTATCAGCTGAGGAACTAAAAACCAACTTGGGTTTGTCAATTTTAGTTTAAAAAAACCACACAAACGTACTTTGATGTAATTTCGGTCCATCATGAACAGGACAATTTCCACAATACTTTCAAGAAGGCCTTCATCAACATCCTGGAACACAAAACAAAAACATCATGCAAAGAATAAAGTAAACCCTTATCTCCACCAGTACGATCACAGCTCACCATTTCCTGTTCCTGTAAAAACATAGCTGTAACCGTACTGTGACCCAAAATGTTGCCCACAGGTCAAGCAGCTCACAAATGAGGGTTGCACTTAACAGTTACGGGCATGAATACAAATTGGGTAAGTTACTACATGGCAACTCATATGAACTGCAATCTGATCCAATGGATCTTCAAACTGATAAGGCCAGTTAACTTTCTCGCTGCCGCAGTCTTGACTACCAGGGTTTTTTTATAATCTAAAAAATATCAACTACTCAGTAACTTTTTATGTTAGGTAATAATACTGAAATTTGGCCAGTTTCAGCATGAGATGGTGACCTTTACAGAAGAGAAAGAAAAAGTAAAAAAAGAAAAGATTGTTTACGAACACATCAACATGACAGTACTTGGAGGTGAACAGAAAAGTTTTCATAAGAAGACAGTGAAAGGTATAACCACATTCCACTCTCATTTCTTCAAACCTCTTCCACAGCAAGCCTTCCCACTTCATGAAATATTAGAGAAACTATTGTTCTTCAACAATGTAGAAGTAATCCACCAACCTTGTGTTTCAATTTTCTGAACAATGGTTTGAGATAAGAAACAGTCTGTGAATGTGTCGCACTGGCCATCTTCCCCTTGATAATCCGCTTCTCTTCCTCAGGTCTTTCGTTGAGAGCCTCGCCCCATTTCTTCATGACATACTGTAAAAAGATAAAACATTATGTGAGAAAAGCTAGAAGCAAAATGAGGTCATACAAGTCTTGTCTGTCGAAATCAGATTTTATGTTAGAAGTTTTCACTCAGGTATAAAAGAAAAAGCCCCTCACTATTAAAAAATTTCACTTGAATGTAAATCTTTCAGCTAATAAAACCCAGAAAACATGTTGGTTGCAGACAATGTGTCTAACAGAAACTAAACAGTGAGAGGCCACTCTGAAAATTTTACTACGTTTCAGGGTGTACGTTAAACTCAGTGTATAGTGTATGCATTACTGAGATTCTACGGTACACTGTTTGAAAACATGACCATTCTAAAATTGACAGAATAAGGAGATGGACTTGTGCCCATATACAATATAACATTGATAGCTTGAATTCGTCGGGACCGGCCTCCGTGGTTCAAGGGATTTGTAGTTCGAGGGATACGTTAACAGTGTAAAGGCATCGGCTGTGTTAGAGAATCAAGGGAAGCAAAAAAGATTGCTACTTTAGGGGCAAAACAATAGATCATGCGATGCGCAACCCTTCCTCTTGCCCCACTCCAAAAATAAGCCTAGCTAGAAAATCATTGGGATGCGTTTTGAGCAGCGAGCAAAAAATGGCACAGCTGGCTGTTTCTGTGGATGGGGGAAGGCGGTATTTTACCGACCTTGTCTTTTTCCAATATTATCATTATTATTTTGTCTCAAGTGCATCTCAAAGGACATTGACTCTAGACCTCTACAGTGGCGTATATATTCGACTATTCTGTGTTTGTGTGTGATTTTTGTGTAATTTTCTCACAAAGGTAAAAAAAGAAGGAAAAACATGGCTGCAAGCACAATTCGACGGATGCGTGATTTTGTGTCTTCTGTGTTTGACATATCCGTGTTATACTGTACAATCGACCGACAATGAATTTCTGACGCCAGGAATATGCATTCTTATGGTAATGTGGTTACTTGTGAATTACGTGGCTAATATATAACTACTGAACACATTCCAGTGGAAACGAATAAAAGCAGTAAACCACTAAATATTAAAGAAAAACCTTATCTTCAGTGCCAACTCTTACTATAAGAACTCAAATAACACATATAGATACCTTAAAAAACCTTAGGACAATTTCATGATCTTTGTCTTTGTTTCCCTGGCCAAGTTCAGCTTTCATATTCTGTAAAAGAATCAAAACAAAAGATGAGTAAATTAAATGCTGTCTGTATAGAAGTCAGTATTAAATGATCCACCTAAAAATCAAATACCAACACAAAGCTCAACCATCTGTCATACATGTCATCTCTAATAACTACAGTGAAGGTTTTTTAAAAGTAATTACGAAAAAGCTTGTTCAAGACATAGCATAGCACAGTGATTTATCAATGAATCTTTATTAATTGTTCATAAAATAATAATGGAATATAACTGACAACAGAAACAAAAATAGAACACAAAAAAAAAGTTCAAGCCCTTCATCTATTATTAGGCAAACATTAAAAAGTGGATCAAGCACTTAATGTTTTTCATGTGCATTCATGGCTGCCACAACCCAGGTGTGCAGGTTAATTCCATACATTCAGGTAATAAACTTGCTTTATCCAGATCTTGAGATGTATGAAAGTGAAACTATCGGACTGGGACTACCTTAAATAATGCAAAGAAACTTACAATACTGCCCAAATCAGAAAAAAAGAGCAGATTTAAGCAAGAGTATACCTTAAGATCTTCCTGAGTGGTTCCATCATCCTTGACAGAAACATCATTTGTGACGCCTTCTTTGTCCCCACCAGTTGACTTGATGATTTCATCCAGGTAGTCTTGATCAACTTTTTCCATAGCTGCTTGAAAGTCATTTGAAAATCCCTCGCCCTAAAATGAACATCAAGTCAGATCAGTCTGGAATTACAAAGTAAGCAGTGTCCTAGTATAAATAATCACGAGTCAGATCTGCATTCGCAAGACCAGAGGATAAAATACCATGATTTCACTAGAATGTTGTAATGTAAGAAAAAGCATTTGACTATATTTTCTTGCCTCCACACAGCTGCAAAATCTATAAGAATTTGGCAACCAGCAAGGATGAAAAAATCTATATGGGATGTGTTGGGATATGTTGTCCCTTGTATGTCTCTTAGGGCGAAGCCAAGGAAGCCCTAGCTAAGTCATGTGAGAGCCTGTTTTTAATAAAAGATACGAGTACTAGATGATAAATTTGCACTTACCTCAGTTTAAACAATAACTACCTTCAGTTTGAACAATACCTACCAAAAAGCGTGTATGAACCAGGAAAAGATTTTTTGGTATACAGTATAACAGGCATAGCTTGAATTCATCGGGACCGGCCTCAGAGGTTCGAGGGAATATCTTACAAAGATTTTTTAAAAAGGGCTGCAGGCACAGTTCGACGGATGCGTGATTTCCAGTCTTCTGAGTTCAACCTATCAGTGCTATACTGTATTTACCTGCCCAACAACATATTGAAAAACCCAATTAACAATTCCCAATTAACAATTGTCTGGGATATAAAGCAAATTCAAATGACTCCACATAAACATTTCTTACATATTAAGAAACATCAAGCCTAACCCTTTTCCGCCCTTGGCATTAATTATTAATATTTCTCAGTCATGATCTACCTCAAAACCAATTAAAATAAATAAATAAAATTTTTAAAAATTCATCACTCTTGAAACAATCAAAACTACCTTACTGCCTGCTTCTCTTTTTATCATTTTATTTCCAAGATTTTATTTATAAAGAAATAACTGTTAAAAGACATTATGACTGTCTGTAATTCAAAATATGCTGCGCATCGTGCAGTATACAAACAAATTTCAGTTGGCCGTTTTCTCCTTTCTTTGAAGCCCAGAATGAAACGCATCCAAAACTCTCTCTCTTCTTGGGCCTCTATGTGCCTGCTTTCCTTTCGGCTCTCTTCATTTGTTTGTACAACTCTCTCTCTCTCTCTAAACAGCCCGTTCTGTTCATTTGATCTGTTATCAATCTACAGGTAATATTACTGGCTAATGTTTCAAATTCTTCAAATTACCTTAGCAGTAGGTTCAGAAGTCTCCAACTTTTTCAGTCGTCGATATGCATCAATGTCCTCCTCACCAAAGAGTCTGATTGGTTCTCCACGTTCTCTTAGTTTTCTAATTACCTGTAAATTTATGAAAAAGATAGGTGATTTAAGCATCTGGTGAATTAAAATCTAAATGAGTAAGTCTGCAAAACAAGTTTCTTACTGACTTCTTCAAGGTAAGACATTTATCTTAGTGAGTAAAAGCAATGAGGTATGATAAAAGTCGCAACGATTCATGTTAATTAGAATAAGGAATTAAACATATTATATGGATAACAAGGAAGAAATTTCTGATATATATATAAGTCATAGTCATACCTCTTTTCGTGGCAACTGTGTAATTTTGTCTGACTTTCCACCAGCACCATAAGAGCTGGAGTCATTCCCATCAGAGAGCTGAGGAGACAAAGTAAGAACTAAAATTATATGAAAAAACAGCCCTTGAGCAACAAAAAACTCAAAAGCCATGAAAACAAAGTGACTTTTCAACTCTTGAGTATACAGAAGCTTGTCTAAACCCAGAGCAAAACTGTGCCTTGTATTCAACAGCTTGCAGACAATGAAGAGTTAAAGCCAAAAGGAACTACACAACAGATTTCCCCAATTTATTTCAGTCTCTAGTTATGAAGTAAGCTGTGCATTAAAAGTTACTTCCATAACAACTCAACTATTGGAAGAAAATTTTTTTTTTCAGCTGAGAATAGTGAACGATAATTAATTTTTCCTTCCCCTCTACACCTGTTAGAAGGGTTTTACACATCATTTTGTATCCTCCACTTGTTCAAAAGAATGATTCAAGTTAAAAACATTAACTCAGTTTATTTTCCATTTTTAGATTCACATACATTTAAATATCTTTCATCTTTACCTGTGATGAGTATTCTGGTCTCACAATATTACTGTGCTTTTTCCAATACTCCTCTTCTTGTTTAGCAGCCAAATCAGATCTCTTGAAGAATTTCCTTTTGGGATCCTACAGAACAATGATCAGTTACAAATGATTGAAATATAACGATTCAAATTTCATTGACATCCACATACCCACAGACCAACAAAGCATGAATTTGCCTTTCTGTAAATAAAAAGAAGAACAACAATAAGCATTTGGCTCATACTCGAAAAAGAGCTAACCTTTGCACAAATCAAAGCTTCTCTCACACTATCTTACAGACCTCACAGAGCTAATACAACTCACAATTTTAAGTGACAGTGAACAAGGTCTGGTTTTGAAAAAGAATTTCAAGCCAGGTACAGTCGAAACAGTCTAAGACCACCACCCATTGTTGAGGAGAAAAGGGACTGTCTTACACAGGTCGCTGACTTACACAGGTCGCTGACTTACACAGGTCGCTGACTTACACAGGTCGCTGACTTACACAGGTCGCTGACTTACATAGGTCGCTGACTTACACAGGTCGCTGACTTACACAGGTCGCTGACTTACACAGGGTCATTTATAATGTAAATAATACTCATGGGAGGAAATCGGAAGTGGCTGACAGCATTTCAATTAAAACTAATACAACTCAACTCAGCTTTCACCTAAGGAATAAGAAGAAAACAATGATCTTTCCTCAAAGCAGCTTGGCTCTGTCTCAATTTCAATCATTGAGGAAGAGAGAGGCTACAAAGTTGAGTCTGTTTCAACCATAAAGTTTAAAGTATACTACTACTACTGCTACTGCAAAACTGGTCTGCACTTCAGAAACCTCAGTTTCGATAAAAGATTTTTCTAAAACAAAAAGATTGGGTTTAATGTTTATATACCAACATTATGCAACAAATACCAGACCTGGACATTAAGTAAAAACCCATGAAAGCAAAAATTTCTGCTTGTGAGATAAGATAAAAAGTCTCCGTAACACCCTAACATCACTAGAGGAGACAGGCTGAAAAATGAAGATGCAAGAGCAACCTGAGGGTCTCTTTAAGAAACACCAAGTACTTAGGTTACAAACAAAGAGGTAGGACACGCAAACAATGGATTAAGGGAGTTTTAGGGGACCCTGAGAAACTACATTGTTGATTTATCTATGCTCCACTGGGAGTTAAAAAGGGCGAGAGAGAGAGAGAGAGAGAGAGAGAGAGAGAGAGAGAGAGAGAGAGAGAGATAGAGAGAGAGAGAGAGAGAAACTACATCTCAATAGATAAAAAGAACTGCAGAATTGGTCTACATAGAAAACAGCATCTCCCCTTGAAGCTCAAATGCTGTTAGAGGATGAAAAAGGAAAAAGTTAAAGTAAAGAACAGAGACTGGGTGAGTGAAGGTACTAAAAATATTGTAGGAAACATAAACTAAAACTTATTTATATATATTTTTTATTTCAATGAAAAAATAAAAAAGTGTGACATTGTGAAAACAGACGCAGGAGATGGAGATCAACTAAGCTCAAAATAACATTGTATAGCACTTTTCTTGTTTATTTTCATCTGTTTTATCTTAATATTGAATTTATACCTTTAAAAAACTATACATCGTATAAATATATATATATATATATATTTATAACTTTAGTTAATAATTTGTGGTGAAAATGAGCAAGAATGAAAAGTGCTTTAGAATATTTGAGTATGAGATGGGTCCATGAGGGGGTAATACTTTTAATTTTTTTTTAATAAGAGAAAACTATACATTAAGTCTAAGCCTAATATTGCATAGTAATTTCTGTGCTTTGGACTTTAGATGGTTTCTGTGCTTTGGACTTTAGATGGGGGAGGGGGTGGAGGGCATAATATGAGGTTTTGCAATTTAATTAGGTTTGAACTTTTCTTGAAAACAATTGATTTTGTGACATTTTTAATGATCATTATATAATGTGAACTTCAGTTTGCAGCAAATAAATCAGCTGTATGGGCCCCACAAGCCAAAAGGGCAACCAATCTCAGGTTCTGGCCCCAAGCCCAAGAGTAATCATACTATGAATCATAGCAATTTATGAAATATCAGTAGTAACTTTATATGTTCAGGGTTAGGATTAGGGTTAGGGGTATTGTAGGATAGCAGGGTAGTATAATTTTAAAAAAAGGCATAAAAAAGGCAAGGGGCCAAAACAGTAACCATCTCCGCCCAGAGCAGAGTGTTTATAATTATCTATTCTAATGATAATCTGTTGTTTTTGCTTTTTAATCAACATTATATTCTAAATTAAACTGGAGTCTAGATCTATGTTTCGGTACTCTTCGGGAGAAGTGGTCCTGGCCTAACTCCATTGACATTTATACAAAATCGGAAACAAAAACGGAAGTCGAGTAAAAAAACTGAACTGAGTTGCCTGCCAAACCTATTTTTTGAGACTAGATATCTATTTTCGGGACTATTCTGAATTCTAACGTTTTTTTTAAAGTGCTGAGAACAATTTTGGCACTAAACACTGCCACAAACCATTATTTTGTGACTTTAACAGCCCCCCCCCCCTTTTTTTGGGGGGGGGGGGGGAGGCCCCCCTTTTTTCAAAAAGCAACTTCTGGTTTTGTTTCCGATTGTGTACGTAAATGTATAAAAATGTCTATGGAGTTAGGCCGGGACCACTTCTCCTGAAGAGTCCTTATGTTTCTGTACGTTCGAGAGATAGGGAGTATTGACTGTGCAGTGATGGGCACTGGTTTAGATTTGCCGTTCCGCCGCCAAGTTGGTTTGTTTACATCAGCAACCTGATGACCTCTTGGACATTCTAATATCAACTCGAGTAGATCTAGGCTAAAAAGCAAATTAATTAATGTCGTCTACAAACAGTCCTCCTTGCAAAGTACAGGTAGGCTATCGATAATGCAAAAATAGGTCAACGAACATTATTAAAACGCTCACTGCCCATAATTTCAGCACCGCCCATCGGAAACGTCATGATGGGCCTAGCCTATGTTATAATTATTATTATTTTAAAACAATTTTTTTTTCTCTTGCCCATTTATATATGAGATTGACACCATCTGGTTGGTAGAAAAAAGTGCATGATAGTGTCCAATAGTGTATTACACGCATACTTAGTATAACAAGTAACTGTAATAGCAGATAGAGATTCCAGGATTATAGATGTGAGTCATTGATCTGAGAGCGGTGATGATTTTAGATGGTGGTGATGAGTGATGATGAGGGATTGCGTTTAAGTAAAGTGAGTGTTAGTCCTAGATCTTCCTCTGCTCCAATGAGTCACGAGGAACGTGGGCACCCTCTATCCTGTTCCCTACTGGAACCATCTTTATGGTCACAGTGAAGTTCCAAAATGGTGGGCTCAGTCTCTGCTCTAAGGTGACATTGTTAGTGTTAGCCTATTCTATCGTGCAAAGACAAGTGTAGAGAGGAGCTAAGTGGGAAGACAGTATAGTGGCAGGTATGTTGGGGTATTTGTAAGCTGGTTGTAGGAAGCAAGTTGGCAGATTATGATCTTTAAAATTGCAGCATTCTACTCCCTGCTCATTTGCCCCGAGTATTCTTTTCGAGTCCAATTGAGCTTGCGGAGATTCTGACACAGGATCCTCAAACCCGGGTCAAGAGGGCACTTCACTTTACACAGACATTGTATCCCCTCGCCTCAGGGGCAGCTAGCCTATACTGTTATTTATTTAAATAACGGGATGGAAAATCTAAATCAATGCCCAGTGATGCCCCTCTTCTCACGGCCACACGTCATTGAGGCTCATTTTCCACTTTCTTTCTTAGATCAGATCTAGTCTAGATCTACTAACACTCTTTTCTTTTTCTTGTGGAAGTGGCTATCCTCACCCCAGGTGAGAATAAAAATTAAATACGATCTACCTCTCACCCCGCGTGAGACTTGCCAGCGTAGGCTATTCTCACCCGGTGTGAAACAAGACCTGTTTTTCCTCATTTTGATACTGTCTATCGGTGTGGATGATCAGATAGACAAAAACCAAGAAAAAAAATGACGTTATAGCACAAAAGTACAAGCTAATTTAATTTGGTTGTCTACAAAGATCCTATGGCTCTTTCACTTTACGAAACGAGCTGAACTACGTGGGTCGACATTTTGTTTTGCCCAGGAGTTCTTGCAAGATCTACTCCTTCTCTCTCTTTCTGAATAGCCTACTGTCCATCGGTGTGGACGATCAAATTGACAAAAACAAAGATAAAAAATTATATTAAAACACAAAGTAAATTACTTCGGATGTCTACAAAGAAGAGCTACGGCTAACTTTTCGAATCGAGCCGAACTACGCTGGTCGCCATTTTGTTTGGGAAGATTGAAGAATACCGGACCACTCGTACATTATTGCGCGAGAAAGTGGGGTTGGTGGGGAGGGTGGAGGAGGGGGGAGTGTGGGTTCAGGGGGGTCTCCCCCCTGACAAAATTTTAATGAATAGATCTACCGGTCCGAGATTCTCTATTGAGAGATATTAACCCTCATCCTGCGGGAGCCGGGTTTATGTAGCCCGATAAGCCTATTTCGGCACCTCGCCTGCGTTCTGGTCCCGAGTCAGTGTAGCTCCTGGCTCAGCGCACGCGCAGCGCGCATCCTCTTACGTGTCATTCGGGTCCCGAGTCGGATCCCCATTCACGCAGGTCAAGTGTGTGTGCGTCAGTCTGCTTGAGTTTGTGTGCGTTTGTGGCCTTCTTCTAGAACCACCTGCGTTGGTTCGTAATCGAGGCATACGTCTCATTCAAAACATGCCAAGTTGATAGCTCTAGATGTTCGTCCAATGAAATTATAGAAGAAATTGACCCACTTAGACATGAGGAGCTCGAAAGGATAGTCAGGAAACAAGACTTCCATTTTTCTCTATACAAAATATTTCAAATGAGCTTGATTTTGTATGAAATGATACTACCTGATAAAAGATGAGCTTGTTTAATAGTTTTGAATACCCTTGGGCAGGTACAAAGAACAATTTGAGTGTAAAACATTCGGAAATTGACCTAAATTATCCCTTTTCAAACCTCAGGTCATTCATAACAACAAGAGCGTCCAGAAAGGTTATTCAAATGGGCGTAACTACTCGTAATGTCTTATCAGCTTGTGAGAGGGGGTTATTCATGTGTTTGTAACACTTTATAAATAGAATGCTATGAAGGATAGAGCGTTATTTTCATCATCAGTTAACAAACTCCCGCGGTATTCATGGCGAAAACACACGTTTCTCGGCGCGCGCGCTGTACACCAACAGTACACACTGAGTGACCCCGGCGGCCTGCCCGGCGAGTCCGACGTAATCGGTTGCTGATAAGATACGCATCTGGGCACAGACGCAGGATAAGAGTTAAAAACGGGAAAATTATGAATTCCTAAGGTTGAGACATAGGCAAAGTCAGTCCACTGGTCCGGTATTCTTCAATCTTACCTTTTGTTTTGCCTGGAAGTTCTCGCGTTACTCCTCTCTCTCTCTCTCCCGCCCTCTCTTTCTCTCTCACTGCCCACAGCACACAAAATTGCTCGCTTTCAATACAAACACAAGAGAGCTGGAACATTTGTTCACTGCGAACGCTACACTGGTTTGCCTATCACTATCACGGTGAAGGCACACCGGGTGAGAATAGCCAAAAGGCCCGCCTGCTCTGCGCTATTCTCATAGAGGTGGCCTTTTATTTTACTTGACTTTCTTACGACTCACTCACAATACTAGATCTAATTTAATAAAAGTCTAATACTCACATGAATCAAGTTTGACTCCTGTATCTGGCGTTTCTTCCTTTCGATTTCTGCTTTAAGAATATCCATTGATGAATCTAACTTTGAGCTATGTATTACTAAGTAATCAGAGAAAAAGAAGAGTTGGGTAACAAACAAGAAAACAAGATTTGCAGTACAGAATGGCCTGCACTAAGAGTAAGATTAAGGTCTAATGTTGTTGTTTCGTCAAATAAAATGGCAGCTTGTTTATGTGACGTTCTCATGAATGTGAAGGTATTTTTGTTAGGGTAACCTCTTTCGACTTCCGGGCTACGTATGAAAAGTAATTCGTGTTCATAACTGCCCATCGCATTCATGTAAAAGCCAGCTTTAATTAATTATTATTTTTGGGTTTGACAAAGAAAATCATTTTTTATTTTCAAAAAACGAAAAGGCGACTAAATTTCGCTTATATATGGGAGTTGACAGGTATCACATCAAAATAGCATAAAAGTCTTGTAATTTAGAAATGTCTAATCTAAGCATCAAAATATGAATCTGAGAATATAAAGCAATTGTATTGATGCTGATGATTTTATCTTTGTTATCTTCGTTATCCACAAGAGATTTCAGTCTGAGATGACCATCTTAAATTATTGCTTGGACGTTTCTGACCTTCCGGGCTAACAAACCCGTCAAACATATATGTATTATAATCAGGGGCAGCTCGTGGGGCTAAAAAGTGGACGTGCACAATTAAGCTATCGCATGCTGAAGATAGTCAAGGGCACAGTAAATGAGACGGTGTATACTTTTAAGATCTTTGGGTTGGTGAGGGAGGACGCCGTGCTTTTATTTTCATTCTTTTTACTTGTCGCTTTGCTTTCTAGTACTAAATTTGTTTGTTAGCTAAACATCAATTTCGTCTATCCTGTATTGGAACTGAACACTCAAGTAATAACTTTCACTACTCCACTACAAAACCATTCAAAGGCACAACTCATAGGACAGTCACGTTCACCTCCCTCAGGTTCACGGTCACAGAGTCACTTAAAATAGTGGCAAGACAGACAATGAACCAATCACAATTCACTTGAGCACTCCGCTGGATTGTTCAAGGGCTCACATAATATTGGCAAAGAATAGCGTACGGTCTATCGCGTTTATTTTTAGACCTCCTACTGTGGGCTATGTTCCGGCACTGTTCAGCAGGAGCACATTTGAGATGTGCCGTCTTATTAATATTAATGTACCGCCAAACTCGCTACGAGTGTCGTCATCGCTTGGGTTATCCCCAAGAACGATTTATAGGTCAGGTTACACTGTTGAAATTCCTTTTATGTTTAAATAAAGCGCGTGCAATTTTGCATGGCATAGTAGATGTTTTACCGTGCTATAGACACAGAAATGACAGTTATGGCGCTAGTGAGGACTTTGTTTTGATATAATATTTGGCTAGTGTTTGTTTCTGACTTCTTTTAATTTATTATTGTGGGAGTTTTACGTGATAGAACATTTAAAAATTGTGGGCGGCACTGCACGACCATGCTCTATGGACGAACCGTGCCTGATTATAATATGTGTAGCCTGGATAATCACAACTTATTTTGAGGTATCGAATGGACTGCATTTTTTTAAAAAAGTTAGTCCTTTTCTTACCACCCCCACCCTCTTTTTTAAAGGATTTATTTTATTATAATCAGGCAGTTATAATTATTGGGTTTGAAAGTTCAGTTTCTCTATTCTTTTTTTTTAATTTACTAGTGTGTCAATCAAACTTGTACATCGTGTACATAGGCATATTTATGTCCATGCAAAGCGCAGACCTGTCGTGATAGCTGCCAGTCCAAACGATTATTTCTTACTTCCCTTCAATTTGCGTTATTTCTAACATAACAGGCACTGCACAAGACGACAGCCTATCCAACGCAGCCGCGACCGCTTAACTATATCAACCAGCAGTCCCCCTAAAAAAAAACTTGTTCGAGACGACCACGCACGTTTCCAACAATATTCGCCTCCTCCCCAGCCCAAATCGTTCTTCAAAGAATTAATAATTGGGCCTTACGTAGGCCTACTTAGCCTGTGACCGCTTCCGGTTTCAACTTCAGAAGAGAATGCCAGAGTGGTGCCCACTACGGCTGGATCGGGCCGATCGCCCGACTCGGTCGCCTGAAACGTAAAACTATAATAAACTCGTTTGTTTTTTTAGGCAACCGAATTGGGCAATCGATCAGACCGATCCCACCCATAGTGGGCACCTCGTATTAGACAACAATCGACTCTTCATCTCGGCAATGAGTGGTGTCTTGGACAATTTCGATTTTACTTGTTTAAGTAAGCTGAGACAATTCAAATGCATCATCATCATACTTTCTCATCCCGCATCAGGGTATTGGCTACAAAGAAATACTTTTCATCTTTCCCTATCTTGGGCTAACCTCTTTTACTATTCCATGACCTTTCTCTTTTCTGTAGCCTACATCATTAGAAGACCGTTTAAATACACAAGCACAAAAACTTAATAATCTTTTTAAAATTTAAACTAATGATAGCAACCTTTATTAGAAACAAAACATACATGTATAATGTTCTACTTTGATAATGATAGTGCGTTACTTTTTTTTTTCATTCTTACAGTTGTGACATGACCATAAAGTAAACTGTGATCAAACGGGTTACCATACAAGCTCAATCTATTCAGTCAAAAAGGAGCAATGAGGAAGCCAGAGTTGATTCCCCATTCTATGAGTCAGCATCGAACAGAAAGGATGCGGTTGATTCGACTGTGGTATTTTACGCGAGAATGGATTACTAATTCTTCTTAGGATTTTGGATAAAGTGGAAATATAACAATCATGGCTTCGTTGTTGATGAAGCCGGAGCTTCAGTCTCAAGGTAAAATGTTTTTCTGCTTTATTGTTTACATTTTTCGGAGCCGTTGGAGGCCGCAGTGTAGGCCTAACTCATGAAATTTAGCAGTTAGCACCTCTAATAGAGGGCCCGGGGTTGGCATAAAGGAGGGTGTATTATAATTCTAGATACCGGCTACCGGCTTCTATCAAAAAGAGTGTAAATTTGCGTAATGAGTAAGTTACTTTGATATTTACACAATTTATACTCCTTATTAATAATGAAAAGTAAGTCAAATATTATGAACTCGAGTAACTTCGAGTCTTCGTCTTCGAACATTACTCATTACATACAACAATTTGAATTGAATTAGCCTGATTTTTCATGACATGCCTAACCTAATAATTATCTAATAGATCTAATCTATATATAGTATATATCTAGATCTAGAATCTATGTCTTTAGTCTATAGGCATGCCTTAGAATAAGACCCCACGATTTATATTATATTCATTACAGACAGTATGTATAGAAAAATCCCCCCCCCTCACCTTTTCACCCCATGATAAATGATTAATGTGTACACTACTTTTACTATGTCTACAAACATGACTTACACACACACACATACACGCGTGCCCACTCACAAAGACACACACACACTCACACACACACACACACACACACACACACACACACACACACACACATACACACACACAGTGGCACACTCACATGCAATCTTTTGTAATACAATGATGGCCCAATCATACCCAATGCTCATAAAGTTACTAACGAAGACTGTTGTAGGCTTATTTATTTAATATGTTGGATACAATAAAGGCCAATACAAAGTCAGTCAGCCAACTAAGTAGACTATGACATGATGAGTGATAAAATAATGAAATTGTGATATGTCATTGTATTGTATGCTCTACAATACATCATTAAATAGTAATTGAGGAGAAAGTATTTCAGTGTGTTCGAAAAACTGAAAAAAGTGAGAAAGTCAGGACTGACTTTGACTTTGAGGCTTTGTCAGTGAAGTTCGAATAGTGAGGTAATCTGCTTGTAAGGAAAGGTTTTCAACTACTTTATTTTGCTCACAATCATTTGTGTGTGTGTATTATTTTAGGATCTAGGCTTGGGCAATGTATAGGCTAATTTGAGGCTTAACATATTTCCAGGTGAACCAATGTCTTCATTGCATGGACTGAGTTCCCTTACGTCCTAATCACCACACTAGAGATGTGAGGTCCCCTTCCTTTGACACCCAATTTAGAAGTTGTGATGGCTTAAATTAAATTGAATTCATGTTTTCTGTCTGCAGGTTGAGCTAATCATAATTAATTAACGCATTTCATTCTCTAAGTTAATGTAGGTAGGCATCCTAAATGAAGGCTAATGAAATAATAAATTTGTCAAGAATTTAAATACAGAAAACTTGGCTATGTATGTTGCCATGAACTCTTTCTGAATCACAGAGACGTCTTTATTCAATGGGCTGAAATGTTCTTTTCACAGTCAATAAACAGGGTATTATACATGACGTGATGTCTTTGGAAGGCTGTGTTGCCTTTCAACTTTCCTTTGCCCATGTGTGATAGTTTATTCACCAGCTGTTCAAGTTCAAAAAGTGTTAAACCATAGACCATCTATATATAGAGAACAATTTCTGTGTTTGAAATGAATTTTCTTTTCAATTCCTTTCAAGCCCTTTTTGAATTCGAATTCAGAATGATTGAGCAGGGAGATATATATGTTTTAAAGCCTAACTTTTTCCTTTATAAACAGGTTCTCTCTGATTTGTTTTCCCCATGTTGTTTTTATAATTAAGTATACATGCAGTTATAAAGAGAATGAATTAATTTTCTGAGGAAACTTTAAGGGTAGTCTGTTAATGATCTGATACTTTTCTCTGGGGCTCCTCAAAAGCAGGCCAATCTTCCATTTGGAAATAGTTTCATCAAAATTTATTAATAATAAATCCTGAGACGGATACTTTGCATGCTCTTGTAATGGCAATCGGTACTTTTAAAATTGTTTTGAAAATAAGTAGCATTATTTTGTCCTGTTCGATTTCCCAGGACTGAAACCCACAGATGGAGTACGGGATATGATCCTCATCAGTAATATTGATGAAAATGGAATCAATACAAATCTCCAAGTCAGGTATCAGAAGAATCTCATATACGTATCCTTTCACTGGCTTTACTATTGAATATTATGTTAAATTTAAAGAGTTTGACCATTTCATACTGTACTTTTCATTGTGTATTGTTTCTGGTACTTGCACTCTCATGTGGTTGTAAATATACGGTAAAAATGTGGTTGTATATATATATGTAAACTCTGAATATTGAATGTGTGTACGTTGTTTGTGTAAAAGACATGATCTGATCACTTTATAAGTTATTCCCCTCTAATCTATTATTTTTTGGGGTGTTTTTTATGGTCTAAACTTCATGGTGATTTATACAAAATGTATAATATTTGTGTCTGTCTCTAGATCTAGATGTGTGTATATATGGTAATCTGTCGGAAAGTCATTCTCTGTCAAGATCATTTAATTCCATCTTGGAGAGGTGTCTCACTATCTGGAGCATTATATCAAGTATTAAGTTGGGTACAGTGTTATAATGTCGTTTCCTTTAAGAGTTGTCATTGAGTTGCTGTTGAAGTTCAGTTTCCCAACTTGGCACATTTTGATGGCTGGCCACTTGGTCCCGGGATATTACCGGATGGGCGAGAAAAAAAAATAGTTGTGGTGAGACCCTCTCGGATTTGAATCATGGATTCTTGAAGGTTTTGTTTTGTAACTGCTAGGCCATAGTAGTCAACTCAAATAAATATCCAAGTAGATCTAGTAAGTAGAATCTGCACACCTTTCATTATAATGATTTGTAGGTCACTGAGAAGAAAAAGGTACGACGTGAAAGAATGTAGGTTAAGAGGATTTGGACTTGGAAGTATCTCTTTTGGGGACGGGAGAGGAAAGAGAAAGGGCGGAAAGAGGGGGGGGGGGGGGCAGGCAGACAAAGAAAAAAATGAGAAAGAGGGGAAAAGAGACGATGGAGTTTAGTATGAGAGGGAGAGAGAGAGGGAGAGAGAGAGAGAGAGAGAGAGAGAGAGAGAGAGAGAGAGAGAGAGAGAGATGTAATAGCCGGATTTAAATCGCTCGTGCTGTTGCGTGTTTTGGTTGTCGTTTATCTACGTGACGCACACTGGGATGTCGGTTTGAGGGATGTATCCATGTAAGTGGGCTTGTAAGTTGTAAGCGCTCGAGGAGGAAATGGTCCTGGGGAAAAGGGGTATCAGTAGGACAAGTTAGGCTAGCATACTATGTCAGTAGGCTACCCTCTCCCTTGTAAATTGTGCCGCTCCGTTTCTTTTGATAATCTTGATCATTTTTTTAAACGCTGATTGTGGTGACAAAACAGAGTTTGAAATATTTGGTAGATCTAACCCTCCTGGCCCCCCCAAAAAACCCAACAACAATAACAACAACAAAAAATTGGATTATGCAATTGACTGCGAGGATTTAAAGAAATTCTTGTTATAACTCCCCTTTTTGTTTGTGAGTCGTGGCGCTTGATTTTATCATGGGACCTCTGATTTAATGCCCACCTGTAACGCCCTTAGTGGGTAGAACATTTTCCAACCCAAGTTCAAGAATGCTGTATCAATGTTGCCCACCCCACTTTCTAAGCATGGTCCCTACTGACCCCTCTGCAGTGCGCCCTAAATTATAGGAACGGTGGGTACGGAACGTGACAAGCTCGTCTTTTCACAGTGTTGTACATTTGATGTACCACTCCTCTTTGGTTACGTTCGCTTATCCTTGAAGATACCTCTGTGATTATCCGAGAACTCGTCCATAGACCGCACCCTTTTAGGTTGAGGGTTCACAACTGTACCCACCACGCACCCGCAGGGGGTGCCAACCTCCTCTGTTGCTGACTCTATTAGGGAAGAACGCACTCTACTAACACTTGGGTCTTCTTCATGGGTGGTATTTTCGTCTTTACTACAAAACTACTTCTTTCTTTCCCGCCGTCTTCTGTCGTTAACCCTACAAGGGGGTCAACAACTGCCATACTTTCGAAATGATACTTTAGTGTGTGTGTAATGGCATTTAAATTTATGACTGCGAGTGTTTGGAGGGCATCATAGGTACTTTGTTGTTTTTTCCCCCCCTCTCTTGCTTTCATCTGTCTGGTTGCCTGTGTAGCTTTCCGCCAGCACTAAATACCTGTCATATATGCCGGCGTGCTTTTCTTTACTCAAAAAAATCAGGCAGCATGTTAATTCTTAAAAATGAAGTGGAATCGGGAACCACTTTGGCTATGATTCAGCACTAATTTCTGTGGTGTGCGGTTAGGCTGTTGTACGCAGAAACATGGGTTAGGTTTCCGAGAGGAAGGTTTTTTTTCTTTCTTAAAAAAAAATTCCCCCCCCTCCCCCAACAACGACAACAACAACAACAAAAATTAACTCCCCCCCCCAAAAAAAAAAAAAAAAAAAAAAAAATCGAGTATCTATGCATGTTTGTTGGGATGGGGATGTTTAGTCGTATCCCTCTCATTGCAGGTTAACCTTGACAGGTAGAGTCGAAGAAGCCCGCTTCTTAATTTTATACAAATTATGTTGCAATAACAATTTACAAATTATGATTAATCAAAGCCTTGCTGTGGTGGAGCGGAAGGAGTGGTCTACTGGGGTTCCCAGTTTGCGGCAGTTCCCAGTTAGCGGCAGAGGTGTGCCCAGAACTCTGCGGAGTTCCGTGGTAGAAATAAAATAATAAAAAACAGAGATTTCGTTCACCGTTCTGCATTCCAGCGCAGTCTGATAGAGCATAAAACTGAGCTGTGAGTGATGGAATCAGACCATGTCAAAGTTTTTTTGGTTCTTTTTTTTGGTGTTGTTGCGTGTTCTGGTTTGGCATGGCGTGGCGTGGCATATATTAGATGTCAGATGAGATTGATATGGGAATTCCGCCGGTGGTGTGTGTGTGTGTGTGTGTGTGTGTGTGTG